AATAGAGGTAGATGATAGATACAGATGAAAGAAAGAGAATAAAATAGAATAGAATCAGGGGTGGGTTTTTGCCACCATTACTGCCAGTTCGGTGTGCACGCACTTTGCCCATGCATGCACCTGATGTGCGCTCTGCATGCATGCACAGTTGCCCGTAAATAGGTCTGTGCATGCGCAGAACATTAAAAATGTCAAAAAAAACACAACACGCTGCGGCAACCGGGGAACCAGTTCAGGGGCATGGCGAGCCTGCCATCCCTACCGGTTCAGCGACCCAGTTGCAATTTCCACTACCGGTTCTCCCGAACTGGTGCGAACTGGTAGCAACCCACCTCTGAATAGAATAGAATAAACTTTGAATGTACATTAAAATGTACTTACATTAGAAATGAAATGTTGTCTCATACAGGTCTTAAAGGGTCACTACCTCCAATTTTACACCACATAAACATGACAAGATAGATGAATGCAAAATTATGTTTATGCCCACATATATTACACGACACAGAGAAACAACACATTGGATGCCCAAGGCGCCACATAACGTGGCACGATGCACCCCAGGCTTTGAAGAGAGACAGACTCGGAGGACAAAAACGTCAGCCTCACACCGTTGCGATGGAGGGCTTGGGGTTCACTAGACGGGTTGTTGCGGTGCGGCAGGCGGGGGAGGGGAGGGTGACGTGTCGTGCGGTGATGGCACCACTTGGGTAGGGGTGGATGTGGCGTGTTCCTGGAATAAGCCTATGACTCAATGGGGTTGAGCTCAGGTCGGTGACTCAGACAGAGAAGCAACAGGCAATTCACATCTTGGGGAAGCCTCTTTAAAAGTAGTCCTCGACTTACGACCTGTTGCGATCCTTCTTCCTTCAGCCTTCCTTCTTTCTGTTGGTTAGATGGAACTATCTGGGACAACTTAGAAGCCTGATTGGAAGTTCTGAAGGTCTCTCTCTCTCTGTCTGTCTTTCTCTCTCTCTCTCTTTCTCTGTCTCTGTGTGTCCCTCTCTTCCTCCTGTCTCTCTGTCTCTGTCTCTCTGTGTCTGCCTGTCTTTCTTTGTCTTTCTCTTTCTTTCTCTCTCTCTCCCTGTCTCTCCCTGTCTTTCTGTCTGCCTGTCTTTCTTTCTGTCTTTCTCTCTCGCCGTCTATCTGTCTTTCTTTCTTTCTCTCTCTCTGTCTGTCTCTCTGACTATCTGTCTGTCTTTTTCTCTTTCTCTTTCTCTCCGTCTGTGTGTCTCTCTCTCTCCTCTCCTGTCTCCCTCTCTTTCTCTCTGTCTGCCTGTCTTTCTTTCTGTCTCTCTCTGTCTCTCTCTCTCTCTGTCTTTCTGTCTTTCTCTCTCTTTTTTTCTTTCTCTGTCTGCCTATCTTTCTTTCTGTCTTTCTCTCTCTTTTTTTCTTTCTCTGTCTGCCTATCTTTCTT